GACTGAATCTGAGGGGTGGGTGAAGTGACGCCACATAAATTTTGTATAGCAATTTGAGGGTCATTTAAGATAAAAGTTGATTTATAAATTTAAAGTATTGATATGTGCATGGCCCACTTATTATTGTACTTTACTACTTCATCTTCTCTAGCTACAGATGGGTCAGAGGCAAGACAAAGAGTATAAAAATGAAATTAAAAAAAGGAAAATTAATAACCATTTACTGATCCGGCTATTTAATCCTCAGTGTAAATTGGTAAAAATTGACCATGTGGATCTAATGAATATTGTTGGATTTGTTCCCCCAACTTAAAATATCTAACCTATGAAAAGGCTTACTTATTTAGTATGAAGCTTAACACTTTCCCATATTAAATTACCAACATTTAACTCTAAGTAGACAAACAAGGGGTTTTTTTAACCTCACATGAAATGTTTTGCAAGAACATTGAAAACAATAAAGGGAGTATCCTAAATGCAGCTGGCCAGATTTACTTAGATGTCACTGAACAATAATCCATTATGCAGTAGTTTCTGTCTGAAGAGACCAAATAAACTAAACTAATTCCATTAAGGTTTGTTGTTGTTTTTTAGGGACAATTTGATTTTGTTTGATTGACATTTTATGGAACATAATATTGAGATGTGTTTCAAGTAATTCAGAGAGTTGTTTAAAATTTTAATAGTTCAGCCAGTAATCAATATGCAAAAGGTATATTTGCCTAACCAGTGATAAGTTCAGGAATGTTAAGGAGCCCTGAATTGTTATAGCATAAGGGCCTTGGTTAATAACAAGCACACTTTTGCTTTGCTCCTCTACACACACTATCAGTGAGAAGCAGAACTAGAAATGCTTTACAATAGAAAGCAAACTTCTGTGAAAAGTACATTGGAGTGCAATGTTTGTTCCTGACCCTGGTTTTTCCTAACACCCTTTGGGGCTGATGCAAGATAGTCATCTGGGCTCTTCTCACTAACTTTTTTCAGGGATCCTCCATCCTCTTCCCTCTTCAGAATCTCAGCATTGCAGTGACCCTCTCTTCGGGGTGCTGGATGTCACCAAGTCCTGTCAATGTTATTGAGTGAGTCAGCCACAGGAGTCACTAGAGAGCGAGTTTTTGTGTTTGTTCTGGTTTTGTCTGAGGGATGAGGGTTTTCCTGTTTGTTTGTATAGGCTCATGAAATCATTACCTAGCAAAACCTATCAATGGAAGTGTTAATTCTGGCAAAACTTTGTTCACAGACTGTGGGTTGAACGTACACAAACAGTGTTCCAAATATGTGCCCAATGACTGTCAACCAGACCTCAAGAGGATCAAGAGAGTCTACTGCTGTGACCTCACTACACTAGTGAAGGCCCACAATACACAGAGACCAATGGTTGTGGATATATGCATTCGAGAAATAGAAGCAAGAGGTTTGCATGATTTTCTTTGTTAGACTAGAGTGGAGTGTCACCAGGTCTATAATGTTACATGAATTGTGATCGAGGATTAACAGATACACATAAAAAGTAAATCAACTTTGAATTACATGTTAAGTTGGGAGAAAAAAATAGGCCCAAGTAAATGGAAGAGTGGACAGGAGTAGGTTTTTGAGTAAAAGTTCTACTGTTTTGCATTGGCTAGTAAAGTCCAGTTCTGTCATTTCCAAATGCAAATTATTTAAATTGCTTTTAAAAAAAAATATTAGATATATCTTCTAAAATGCAAACTATTCATGTCATACTTTTTCAAAGGACAAACTTTAAACTCACCTGTGTGTCTTTTCACTTGGTTCATTTCCCTTTGACAGATATATGGACAATATTTTCATTTCAAAGCAATCAGAGTTTAATTCCATGCAAGTTACGAATAGTTTTAAACTATTTCAGAACATCATGTGCGAGAGAACACAAATGAATGGAAATAGCTCATACAAAACATGAAAGAGGAGTGCAACATTTTGTGACCTGTGGCAAGCCTCTCTTTTAGTGAAATTCACATTACATTCTGTTTCTGACTGATGAATGACATAGCCAAGCAACGTGTCACAGACAAAAAGCCAGCTTGTGATTTGTCTTTTACTGAACTGACATGCATTCCACATTTACAAATTATGATAACCCCAAGTTATGCAAAATGATTACAAGCTAATGATCATGTATATGTTATTGGTGGCTTACATGTGAGTTATGCCACCTGATAAGCCACGTTTCCTCTGTTAGTCATGTTTTGCACAGAGATCCCATGATGCTGAATTTTTGACATGATAGTAATCTGCATGGCAACACACTGCTGCCAGACAGGGGATTTCAAAGCAGTGTAGGGGATTTAGCGACACATCTTCCATTAAAATTAATAGAAGATGTGCAGCTAAATCCTCTGTACTGCTCTGCAAATCTCAGCCAGGATTATATCATCACTGCAAGAACAAGTGGAAAGGGAGGATGGGTTTGAGAGAGAACAGTTTTACTGAAACATAAGTATCTATAATGATAGCAAAGGACATATTAGAAAGCTATATTGCATTTGATATATAAATATTCTTTCTTTTACAAATGTCAGTTGAGACTAAATTGGTTGTCCTCTTTCATTATCAATACCTTAACAGCTGTAAGAACTCTAAAAATCCCTCCTGTTGGGATATTGGTTTTGGTCATGATACAGCCTCAGTAGCTAAAAAAGGCCAGTGTCTCTTTGTTGGGTGATCACATGGGCATGGTCACAGTAAGGAACCAGTGAGTTAAAACAAGTAACAGCCATGTAAGCCACTTTGACTAGTTGTATCTGCTGCTGTCTTGGACCACCCTTCTTTCCTGTAGGGATGGGAACAGTGCAAGTAAGATTTGTGGAGGCTAACAGCAAACAGGCAAAGGACAGTGGGAGGGATGGGTTGTGCGAAAGAACAGTGTATGCTGCACGTACCCGTTAAGATTGACAGCAAAATCAGAGAGGAAAAAGGACCACAGGAAGGTAGAGTTAATTGCTGGCATCACTATAGGTCATTAAGAACACAGACATAGGGAAGGCAGAATTTAAAGCTATAGTAATTACAGACCGAAAAACAAGAACTGAATAGGAAGTTATCATACCATATGTTGCCAGTATAGGCAAATTGTAGTATTTTGTAGCTGATATTGTGTATTCCCTACCAAACTAATAAAACCAGAAAATGTAACCAACTTGTAGTCTTTAAAATTTACCTTAATTCTTCTTTAAAATACTCAGAAGTTTAACATGAAAATTATTGCTCTTGTCACATTTCATATATGGGATTATTAGCATAACATAAAATAACTGTGATGTTATTGATTTTAAGATTTGAATAGATTGAATATTTGTTGATATATATATATCTGTTGATAGCAGAAATAAAGCTAAATCAAGTGTTTACCTTGCAGGTTTAAAGTCAGAGGGTCTTTATAGAGTCTCGGGGTTCACTGAACACATTGAAGATGTCAAAATGGCCTTTGATCGAGGTATAGTGCGTTTTAATATTAGATGGGTTTTCAGCTGACCTTTTGGTTTAAAGAGACACTGTTCTTATTGATCTCTGGGAGCTCAAATACCATGGTGAGGAAACTGATCTATAAGCAGAAGCCCAAAATGTTACCTATCTTTTTTCTGATGTTATTATTTTTTACCAATTTCCGTAGCACTTTTCACATGATTAAAATCATATTTCATAGTTGGAATAATGTAGATAAACGCACAACAAATAAATGTAGATAGGGAAATGAAAGGTTCAGGTGACTGCTAATGGTCTAGATCCTTTCACCTCTAGGTTACCACCTCGGACCGAGGCATTCCTGAATGTCTGGAAGGCATCTAGCACATCGTGAATGCTACCATAAACAAATAATAACAATAATGATCTTTGTTCAGGAAGGCAGACTGCAGTTGTCATTGTGCTGAATGTTATACTCAATGCTAAAATGGTCAAAGTGCAGTCGTCTTAATAGGCAAGCGGATTTACATCATATATGGGAATTCACAACAAGGTCCAAAAAACTCTGCAAAATCTTTAGCTAATTTTATATAAAGAATGTTTACTTAAAAACCCACAGGATCCTGCAAACCACATAGGCCCCACCACTTAGCTAACAGCACTGTGTCTGTCTGTATGTGTGTTTCATAGGGAGACAAAGTGGGTGAGGTAATATCTTTCATTAGACCAGCTTCTGTTGGTGAGAGAGACAAGCTTTCGAGCTTATACAGAGCTCTTCTTCAGGTATTCAGCTCAGTGTAAGCTCGAAAGCTTGTCTCTCTCACCAACAGAAGCTGGTCTAATGAAAGATATTACCTCACCCACCTCGTACCTCTAATATCCTGGGACCAACACGGCTACAACAACACTGCGTACAATTGTGAGAATTACACACACACAGGCTACTTCTGTGTTTCCATGCTTCCCTGGAACTTGTCTGTGTACTGAGTTGCACATGTATCCCATACCTGTGCTGAGTGTCCACATATGCTGAATGGGGAACGGGTACACGCTCTGTACAGGGCATATACCCCTGTCCACACTGCCTCTTTTTTTGTCCACCACATTAGTGCTATCGTTTCAGGGGCAGTAACCCAGAGTCCTGTGCATCACAGGAGACACTCTGGGAACCGCCTTATGTGTTGCTGGTACTGTACTCCGCCTTCACACATTTGGCAATGGCAGCTCCCTCTCGCTTCCTCCAAACTGTGTTGGAGACATGGAGCACAGGTATGATGATGTGGTTCTGCTCTTGCTCACTGGACAAATGTTCCTGCGGTGCAGTACTGGACACTAGACAGAATCGGCCCACACAAATTTGAGATAGCTGACTGAGTCTGGGGGGAATGAAATCCGGTAGAATCCCAAGAAACAGGTGTGTTGAGTGCTGGGAGTGCAATGGTATGCCCACGGGAGGGCCACCGCTTCTGGTCCTGGAGAACCATCATGGTGTGCTGGGAATCCTGCTGACTCCTCCCTAATGTGTGGAAAACATGTTGATCATACTCAGAAAGCAAAGTGCACACACAAGAGACGGGAACAGTAACTTTTATTTGACAAACATACATCAAACATAGAGCTAAAACAAGATCAAATACACAACAACAACAGGTCAGATTCCCTCAAAGGTGGTCAAACGTTAACTTCTTCGAATATGTCTCCTTGCCCTTCCCCTCTCCCTAACAAGGGAGGAATGGCAGAAAAATATTGGAGGGTGGAGGGGAACAAATAGGGTTGTCTCCTGTGTGGGATCTGGGGACTGTTCACAAGCTGGACTACAAGAACTGGATCAGGCTCATCGTTCCCCTCCTGAATGTTCTGGGGGGTTCCCCTCTCGAGGGGTTTCAGGTGCCTGCGGAGGATGTTGTGCCAGGCATCGAGCATGTTCCTTCCTGTCAGGGATGGTGGTGGGATTCACTGCCTCAGCAGCAGCCTGGCAGGCAGATGGAGGAGGACTAGGAGAAGGAGGAGCTGCTGTTTGTTCATGCAGAGGAGCAGGTGCTACAGTGGTGGGCAGGGCCTAGAAGCATGCTGGTTGGACTAAGGATTTTCTGAGTGCATGATCTTGTTCCCTCTGATGTACTCCCATTGCCTGTGAAACTCTCCATTTTCAGGAAAGCCTTAACCATGCCTAAGAGCCCAATCCTTCCTTGCTCTAAGAAACTTGAACTGCTCCTGACTTCCATCTATGCCAATGAACAGGTCTTTCTGCGTCTTCCTCTGTGATCTCTGTGGAACTCCTGCCTTTCCACCGGAATGGCTTCTTTGTTGGCATCAGAATATCCTGCCAAGTCAAAGACAAGGGTAACAGTATATTGCATTTTTCCTTGGAAAGTAACTAAATTCCCCAACATCATGCAATTGTACTGTGGAAGCCACAAAACTGGTACATTTTAGAATCCCAGGAATGCAGCTGTTACAACCCCCTCCTTCAGATTACTTTTGCAGCCCATTAGGAAGGAGCTGAGGTTAAAAAAAAAATGGTAAGATGCCTGCAGTACTGTTATTAAAGTGTTTTAATGTTTACAGTGTATGGATGGACCACTTGAGATGGCATTTGGTTCCTTTAAGGGTAACGTTACCAAGTCATCTTTCTGTTCTTTAAAGGCTCGCCATCACTTTGAGAACATAGCAGTTTTTGAGACTGGAACGGAAAAGAGTAGTGGCTTTCCAGTCCTGTGGAGGACACCTGGCCACCTATGTCAGAGATATATTTCTGATAATGGTGACCTATCTACATATTACTGAGTGGTGGGGTTTAGTGAGCTACAAAGTTGGACCAAGCACATTTGCCCTACTGAAAAACCATTTGAATTTCTGCAACACCAAAAATTTGCTGAATTATGCTTACAGGACTGGGTGGCAATTCAAGAGAAAATTGACTATTCTATGCTAGCAGATGGAGTTGCCATGGAAGAGGAATGGAGAACCACAGAAATCATCCACCCACCACTTAATTCCCCCTGTGTCCAGTGAACAGCATTGAAAGGGACAGAGAAACAGAGAGTGACTCCAGAAGTGTATTTTCTTCCCTAAACTTCTGGATTAACACCACAAGTCAATCACCTCTCTGCTGCTAAGGGGCCTGGCATTTGTGCAACCACTGGAGTGGATGCTTCACTCACCCGTGCTTCTCCTGGCTTCTGCAGAGCGGCTCAGCATAGGGAGAGGCCAGACACCAGGTACTGGGAATGGTACAAAACATTTGAAGTGATCACAGGGAGAATGGACTACTCTGATGTTCCTTGGACAACCGAACAGTTCCCTTTGTGTTCCCGGACGTAGGCAGGCCTGCACACAAGGAACTAAGCATCCCCATCCCCCCTCCATTCGGCTCCCATTCATAAGAGGAAGGAAAGACAGGATATGTGGTGGGAGAGGAATAATGTTGGATCATTGCACAACCATGTGTGTCATGAAACTGTTCTTTCCCCACCTGGGGCCTTATAGCACTCAGCCTGCCCCTTCTTTCCCCCACTATTTTGTGAAGCACCTGAACTATTGCTGTCAGTGATAGCCAAGAAATGCACAGACACAAGGGCCTGTTATGGCTTCTGTTAAATGCTTTCTAGTGGTTCATGGGATTTCAATAAAATCATTGATTTAAAGCTGTGTGCTGCTATGGGACCATGCTGAAGTGGGCTGGAGGGCTGGGCTGAGGCATATATCACCAGAGGAAGGGTGGGGGTTCATTGTAAAACTTACCAATATCAGATTCTGGTTCCTACAGCAGCTCTGGGTCCTGGTGGGGGGGCTTCTTATAGAATCATAGAATATCAGGGTTGGAAGGGACCTCAGGAGGTCATCTAGTCCCACCCCCTACTCAAAGCAGGACCAATCCCCAACTAAATCATCCCAGTCAGGGCTTTGTCAACCCTGACCTTAAAAATATCTAAGGAAGGAGATTCCACCACCTCCCTAGGTAACGCATTCCAGTGTTTCACCTCCCTCCTAGTGAAAAAGTTTTCCCTAATATCCAACCGAAACCTCCCCCACTGCAACTTGAGACCATTACTCCTTGTTCTGTCATCAGCTACCCATTGAGAACAGTCTAGAGCCATCCTCTTTGGAATCCCCTTTCAGGTAGTTGAAAGCAGCTATCAAATCCCCCCTCATTCTTCTCTTCCGCAGACTAAACAGTCCCAGGTCCCTCAGCCTCTCCTCATAAGTCATGCGTTCCAGTCCCCTAATTATTTTTGTTGCCCTCCGCTGGACTCTTTCCAATTTTTCCACATCCTTCTTGTAGTGTGGGGCCCAAAACTGGACACAGTACTCCAGATGAAGCCTCACCAATGTCAAATAGAGGGGATCGATCACGTCCCTCGATCTGCTGGCAATGCCCCTACTTATACAGCCCAAAATGCCGGTAGCCTTTTTGGCAACAAGGGCACACTGTTGACTCATATCCAGCTTCTCGTCCACTGTAACCTCTAGGTCCTTTTCTGCAGAACTGCTGCCTAGCCATTTAGTCCCTAGTCTGTAGCAATGCATGGGATTCTTCCGTCCTAAGTGTAGGACTCTGCACTTGTCTTTGTTGAACCTCATCAGATTTCTTTTGGCCCAATCCTCCAATTTGTCTAGGTCCCTCTGTATCCTATCCCTACCCTTCAGCATATCTACCACTCCTCCCAGTTTAGTGTCATCTGCAAACTTGCTGAGAGTGCAATCCACACCATCCTCCAGGTCATTTATGAAGATATTGAACAAAACCGGCCTGAGGACCGACCCTTGGGGCACTCCACTTGATACCGGCTGCCAACTAGACCTGGAGCCATTGATCACTACCCGTTGAACCCAAAAATCTAGCCAACTTTCTATCCACCTTACAGTCCTTTCATCCAGCCCATACTACTTTAACGTGCTGGCAAGAATACTGTGGGAGACCATGTCAAAAGCTTTGCTAAAGTCAAGGAGCAACACGTCCACTACTTTTCCCTCATCCATAGAGCCAGTTATCTCATCATAGAAGGCAATTAGATTAGTCAGGCATGACTTGCCCTTGGTGAATCCATGCTGACTGTTCCTGATCACTTTCCTCTCCTCTAAGTGCTTCAGAATTGATTCCTTGAGGACCTGCTCCATGATTTTTCTAGGGACTGAGGTGAGGCTGACTGGCCTGTAGTTCCCAGGATCCACCTTCTTCCCTTTTTTAAAGATGGGCACTACATTAGCCTTTTTCCAGTCGTCCGGGACTTCCCCTGATCGCCATGAGTTTTCAAAGATAATGGCCAATGGCTCTGCAATCACATCCGCCAACTCCTTTAGCACTCTCGGATGCAGCGCGTCCAGCCCCATGGACTTGTGCTCGTCCAGCTTTTCTAAATAGTCCCGAACCACTTCTTTCTCCACAGATAATTCTTCAACCAGGACTGCCCAGTAGAGGTGCAGAATCACATGCTTCTCTTCCTCTGTGTCTCTTGGGGCTTCCTCTAGGAATTCCTCTGAGGTCTCCGCTGCCTCCTCACCCTGCCCATCATCGGTCCCATCCTATGATGAGGCCAGCAGGGTTGAGGAGGGGCTCATGAGTCAGTTCAGGCTCTGTATCTGCAACCCTGGAGAGCTCCCAGTCCAGCTCATCTCGTAGCATGGGTATGTGCTAAGTCAACTCCTGGAGCAATTGCTGGAGTCCTTCACCCTCCAGTACAAGAGCCTGATGTGTTTCATGTGCACCCAGCATTGGGATGGAATCTGGTGAATGCCAGCCATCTCCAGCCTCTGTGAAATCTTCTGGTACAGGTGAGTGTACCTGCCACCTACCTGGTGAAGGACAATCTGCTCCGAGCACACAATGAGCACCCAGGTGTGCTCCAGAGACCAGGTAGTTGCTCTCGGACCACAATCACCTGTACTGATCAATCAATTTTAGTAGAAAACTGTTCTGTGGGAGTCAGGATAGGTTGCTACCACTGCTGGCAAGTGGGTTTCAGGGACTTTCCATTAAGGGTCATGCAGCAAAATGATCAGTGCACTATGGGAATCGCCCTGGAGTACTATCGCTACTCGTGTCCTGGTATACGGCCTTTGCCCCTGTCTACACTACACTGTAGAACAAGTACAGAACAAGTACAGGGTCATGCCACAGCAGAGGTGCTTACATACCCACACCCCTCGGTGCATGCTAGCTTTCATGCACTAGACTGTCCATCAGGAATGTGCCTCAGAGCTTCAGATTTGGACAATATGGGGGTTATGGTACAATAGCACACATGTACCTGTGTTCAGTCTCAAGTGTAGATGGCTCTACATACACACAAAATGCAGCTTTCCTTGTATACCTATCATCTGACCGTATTTGGGAGGATATTTCCTTTCTTGTGTGTGATATACCATCCTGCTCCTCTCCCATATATGGTATTTCCCTCCTGCTTTGTTTCTTCAAATATTATTTTTGTACTTTATACTTTAAAAAAGTTTCTTTAAAAAAAACAACAACATTTAAAATGGTGTAGATCACATTATCTTAGAAATACTTTGTATCTGAAGTTTTCCTTGTTTGGAAGAAAATTCCTGTAATGGCTACACTGGCTAAGGAGAACTAACCACAAAAGGTGGGATTCTGAAGTGATCATGCTCAAAGTATAACTTACAGACATTAAGAGGATGGCATATTGTTTCTGTGTTGGATGCTGGCATCTTTTCTGCTGCCACTGTTCACACACATACAAATCTTGTTGCTCTGTGAGCTGTGTCTCCACATCATGACTGTAGCAGCCTTTATGGAACTTGTAGGGAGAAGCACAAGTTGCAGGAGGGAAGAGTTTGGAGGAGGCACTAGGAAGTCAGTCTGTGTGCACCTGGATAGAATGTTAGCTGCAGTTGCTGCATCTCTGTAAATATTTGTCTTAAAAAACAGTGTTAGTTTACACCCATGGAATCTGTTCATTTAATTACCCAGCACACAGTACTAACAATGATCTAAGAGGAAACTATTTTACTAAAACTTTTAAGACGCACATCATCTTCATCAGGCTATAGGAAATGAAATGCGATAGAATGTTATAGAAAATCTTGTTTAACACTGTGTATCAAACTCCGCCATAGAATAGCAGAGATCCGGTTGACTTAAACTGGATTTACAGGAGTACAATGAAGGCAGAATTTTACCCCCAGTGCCGTAGGATTCTTAAAGGGACAGTGACTTGTTCCTACAAAAGCATTACAATATAAATGAGAAAGGAAACTGAAACTTAGAAGTTAAAGTCACTGGAAGAGAATGTTATCTCTGGATATATTATCTCAGGTTGATAAATGCTGATGAAGCTGGGATGTTAAACAGGAGATGTGCCTAGTTCTTACATACAGTAAATTCCTTTATACAGCCAAATGGTGTAAATGGGCCTTAGTGTACATGAGAATTAGGCTTATTGAGGTTGTGACAATGTTCTGTTTCAGCTATTTTTAACTAGAATAAGAGGAATAATAAGGATTTATTTAATCTAATGAATGTGGATGCTGTAGAGCAACAGTCGTTCTCTGTACTGCTGTTGACCTGCTGCATTCTGATGGCTTAGAAAACACTCATTGTGCAGTTTGTCCACAGAGACGCCATTGTAGTAAATGCATTTTGTCCTTTTATTTGTTGTTGTTTCTTTGATTGTCTGGCAAACATGTTTGTTATAATATTATGCAGTTAAATATTACATTCAAAAGCACTCTGACTTTTATTGGCATTCGTGTAAACTGTGTGCAAGTGTCTTTGTTTTACTGGATTTGGAGTTTGACAGTTTTTTCAAAGGATCAAATCCTAAAGTCTTTAACTTGGGCAATTCTCACAATGACACTTGATTTGGCACAATAAGACCATTGGGTCTGTCAAGGTTCCTCCCCCACTCTGAACTCTAGGGTACAGATGTGGGGACCTGCATGAAAACCTCCTAAGCTTACTTTTACCAGCTTAGGTTAAAACTTCCCCAAGGTACAAATTAATTTTATCCTTTGTGCTTGGAATAACCACTGCCACCACCAAACTCTAACTGGGTTTACTGGGAAACGTAGTTTGGACACGTCTTTCCCCCCAAAATCCTCCCAACCCTTGCACCCCACTTCCTGGGAAAGGTTTGGTAAAAATCCTCACCAATTTGCATAGGTGACCACAGACCCAAACCCTTGGATGTGAGAACAATGAAAAAGCATTCAGTTTTCTTACAAGAAGACTTTTAATAGAAATAGAAGTAAATAGGAGTAAAGGAATCACCCCTGTAAAATCAGGATGGTAGGTACCTTACAGGGTAATTAGATTCAAAACATAGAGAATCCCTCTAGGCAAAACCTTAAGTTACAAAAAAGACACACAGACAGAAATAGTCATTCTATTCAGCACAATTCTTTTCTCAGCCATTTAAAGAAATCATAATCTAACACATACCTAGCTAGATTACTTACTAAAAGTTCTAAGACTCCATTCCTGTTCTATCCCCGGCAAAGCAGCATACCAACAGACACAGACCCTTTGTTTCTCTCCCTCCTCCCAGCTTTTGAAAGTATCTTGTCTCCTCATTGGTCATTTTGGTCAGGTGCCAGCGAGGTTACCTTTAGCTTCTTAACCCTTTACAGGTGAGAGGATTTTTCCTCTGGCCAGGAGGGATTTTAAAGGGGTTTACCCTTCCCTTTACATTTATGACAGGGTCCAAGGACCTTTGAAGGAAAATGTAGTTTTAGTGTAAGTGTAATTCAGCACTGAATGTGCATAGTTTAGATTTGTGGATGGTAATACCAGTTCTGATCTCTTTCCCTATAAGTAATTATTTATAGCCCATCTAAAATGTGCTGTGCCCTTTAAACAACAAAGAAAAAACATGGTCCTTGACTTGAAGAGTCCAAATTTAGACATAACAGGTGGTTTGGGAAGAGCAAGGGATGGGAGGAAAGAACAGAAAAATATAAGTTGTGCTATATTATTGTGTGCTAAATGAATTACATTTTTACAGATTAGTACAGAAAAGCTTTTGGTATTGACATCATAACAGCTGCTATGTGGCAATTTATCTTATTGCAGAGTTGTGGACAATTTTGGTAATACAGAAAGAAAAAGGTATCATAAAATCAATTAGGTTCCTTTAAGTTAATAGCACTGATGCTCCTCTGTTTTACACTTTGTCCTTGACTCCACTTGCTATGAGTTAACACTTCTTCCTTAAGTGCTTTGAATGTTTCTAAAACTTTTAAATACAAATCCAGGCATCCTGGGAAAATAGAAAATAAGTGTAGCTTGCCAGAGTTGCTTTAATAGGGGGAAAAAAAACATCAATAGGTATCTGTTGGAGAATATTTTAAATTTGTGACTTTCCATATAACAAAGTGTATTTTTATTCCCTTCCAAAAATTTTCTTCAGTTGCATTTTTTATAGACATATGTTTATTTTTGAAGTGCCACAGTCTTTGGAGACAACTAATTTTGTGATTCATGAACTAATACACTTTTGTTACAGTGATCTTCAAGAAAAGATATAAATAAAATGTATGTTTGTGTGGCATTTGATGCAGCTAGAGTGCCAGTTTAAGGATGCTTGCTATACTACACTGTAAAAACATTGAATAAATAGCACTTCCATTTAGTATACTAGTGACCTTGCTGTTAAATAAAGACAAGTAATGGATGCAACATTCGGATTTGCCATATCTGTTTGATGCAGCTGCTGTCTTCTTGAAAGCATCTGTTTTCAGTGTAGCATTTTTCGCA